TGAAATAGTAAAGAAGTCCAGGATACATTTACTATTTCAGTTATATCAATTCCATTTGCTCATAAAGTGTTAGTTAATGGACCCAGAAGACGTAAGAGTTGGATATGAGAAAAGAGGAGGCATTGCCTTGAGGAAGAAGTCCAGATGTGGCATAGTGTAAAGAAATACAGGTTTACTACCAGCAAAAGAGGTGAGTCAAACACAGACTCCAGTACACTATAATCACATTAAATGCAAATGAACTAAATTCTCCAAACAAAAGAAATAGAATAACTGAGTGAATTAAAAAAAAAAAAAAGACCTATCTATATTTTTGGCCACAGGAGACCTACTTTAGATGGAAAGACACAAAATAAAAGTGCAGTGATAGGAAAAAACATCCCTACAAAGGAAAACAAAAGAAAACTTGTGAAGTCATACTTATCAGACAAGTAGACATTAAAACAAAGATTGCAACAAAAGACAAGGAAGGATATTACATATTGATAAAAGGATCAATCCAACAAGGAGGTATAATAGTTGTATATCCTGTGTAGACTCTATGCAGTGACAGAAATTGCCATAGTCACACTAAACATCAGCAATCACCACCCTGATCAATCAGCAGCCATCAACATCAAGTTAAGACTCTCCACCAGCAAAGACATTAAAACTCACAGAGGGTGGCAAGGATGGTTAGCATTTTTTAATAGTGAGGTATTTTTTAAATTAAGGTATGCTCAGTGGTTTATTAGACCTAATGTTATTACACACTCAATAAGACTACAGTATAGTGTAAACCTAATGATTATATGTACTAGGCAACCAAAATTTCATGTGATTAGCTTTATCAGGATATTAGCCTTATTGTGGTTATCTTGAATCAAACTTACAATATCTTCAAGATTTGCCTGCACTTTTATTTGGGTGTCACACATTGATGCTCCTGGATTACAGGCCTAGGTGACATTGATGATGGTCTTCAAGTCTTTCAACATTGTCCAAGACCAAGTTAACTTTATTTTCTATGTTTCTCTCTCTCATTCTTACTATTTTTTTTTTTCATATCAGACAGAAAGCAAATTTTTTTATGTATAAATCTTTTATGTTTCAATAAAGTTATATCGAAAAAGGGCATGGTTTAAACCTGTTCTTAAGTTTTAACATCCTCATATCTACCATATTCTGTGTACAGATGTAAAGTTATACCAAAAAACACTTTGGTCTTTCTCAGGAAAGATATTCTAGGCAGTGAAATATTACATAATCAAAATATTTTAAGTATCTCAACAAGCAATCAATTCTGATATGACATTCTTCCTCATGAGTTCAATAGTCTATTATTTTTATACATGCTTGCCTCTATATTCATTGGATCAACTCCTAGATTTTTTTCTCACCTCAGTAATGCATAAAATATTTTATAGTTCTATTCATTTAGATCAGTCTTAAGTACAGTTGAGAGAAAACTGCACTCTTCATCATATAATATGCATACTATTTGTAATTATATGTCATGTGGCCAAGCAGTAAATGAAAAATGTTTTGCAATCTGCCTTTTAACAAAGTATAATTGTTATTCTCCTTAAAGAAAACCAGATTCTACTATTTTTGAAATGAAATCTCTCATCTTTTTTCAACTATCTTTAAACAATAACTTAGGAAACTTCTTTTTACTCATTTGTCCCAAGATTTAACACTATGTTTAGCATTTCTTGTAGAACCTGTCTTACATGTTTCAAACAATACAAAACCTGCAAACTTGTAATAAAACTTAAGTTTCCACTCAATTGTTTATTTCAAGTGTAGCTTTTCTTTCATAATAGCTAAACATTTTAAATTGTTCATAATTACATTCTTTATCATTTCAAACCCCAAATGATGCTTTTTGTCTCTCAAATGTATTTTAAAATTGATTGAGTTAATGAGTTGCATGAGTAATTGAGTTGCATGAGTCAGAGCACTGTAGTAGAACTGACTAGAGCTTTGCATAAACACATGACTCTTGTAATTAGAAATTTAATTTGACTTTCCCCTTGTCATTATTCACCAATTGCAATGCATTTTTATCATTTTATAACCTTTGTCCTATGAAATGTGGTCACACTGTTCTTAATTCTATCTCAATCTTAAAATGTCATTGTTTTTCTTCTTTCACGTTAAATTCTAATTATTATTATTTATTTCTTTTTAAAAATCATGCATCCAAGGCCCCTTGTTCAATTTCTGGCAATTCAGTGCTCCTGCTACATAATTTAGTCTTCTGGAAATCTATTAGTGATAGCCCCGGTACTCTTTTTTTCATGTCCTCTAGCTCTTCTTTGATCATTGCTCTTGCAAATCTTAGTCCCTTCAATTATGTTACTACCTTTGTGGCACAAAATCACATTAACATATCTCTGAGTCTAGTTTTTCTATTAAAGAGTACCTGATTTATGCCTTCTTTCAACCTTATCGATTTTTTTTTTCATATCACAAAAGAGGCAACATCTTTCTATGTGCTTAGTTTCAATAAAATTTTATCAGGAAAATGGCATCGTTTAAATCCTCTCTTAAGTTATAGTTCCATGATATGAGTAGTTCATGTTCTTGTGAGCATTACTTAGGAATCTGCCTTATTTCCAAACATCTTGTTAGATAATGCAAAAGGAGTATCAACTTGAGCCTCAAAATACCATTCTGTGGTAGTGTATTAATCTAGCAATTTAGTTTCCCTTTCAGACTCCTAGAAAGTAATTATGCCTATCAAAGTGAAAGAATATTTGAAGAAAACCTAATCACGGGATACACATAAGCATTGACTTTAGGGTAACTCAACCACACAAAATTAGATAAATTTGCAAAATTTATTCTATTGTTTTCACTGGAGGATTGGAAGTTTTCTAATCATTTTGTATCTCCAGGTAAAGGAAAATCGACTACCAACAGCAAATGAACAGATGTAATTTTCCGGCTCTAGTTTGAGAAATTAAGGTAGAAAGAGGCATGTCTTATTCACATCCATATCCAACACATAAAATGTGTGTTTGATGAATTCAAGTCAATGTTATTAATGTTTTTAAATTAAATAATGATGCCATAACTTGGTTGTTTTACAGGTATTAATGTTTATAATTTTGTGCTACCGTTACTGCACATAATTCTCAATTATTTTAACATCATCAATCATTGTGCAAGTATCAATGGAGAGAGATAAATATGGAGCAGATGTTTTCCTAAGCAGTTCTTGACTTGAAAAAGAAGTGTGCCACAATGAAATATTAAAAATATGAAATTGTATGAGCCATTCTCACAGGTGTGAGGTAGTACTCTCAAAATTGGGGGGAAAAAACAAAGTTCAAATAGCTAATTTGACCAAAGGCACCTAGCCAATGATAAAAGAGATGAGCCATAATTTTAGACTTCATTTAAAAGCATAACTGTTTCCACTGTGTGATGTCTCAAAAACAGAACATAAGCAATTGTCCTAAATTTTGCTTTTTCAACTCTACCTACCCTATACCAAATTCCAAGGGAGCTAAAACCAAGAGCCCACTGACATGGAATCAAGAAGACAGGAAGAGGGACCACCCTAGAAGCATTCAAAAACAAAAGGTATATTCAGCAGGAAGATTCAGTCATTTGAAAGACAACCTTTTCTATAAGCACCAATTTGTAACTAGACAATGAATTTAAACCACATCCACATTCTTTTGACCTGTGTTCCTCAGACAATGAAATTTAACTCCTTGTTCTCAGCCCTGCTTCCTAAAAATATAAACCCTTTTATTTTCCTAGAGGTAAAGATATAGATTTGAGTTTTGGCTCTTAGGCCCCTTTCTATTTGCAAGAAAGGCAAATAAACCCTCTCTACTCTCAAATGCCTGTGTCATAATATTATCCTCAATGCACATTGGGCAGTAAGCCCTTTGGCTTGGTAGCAGAAACTTTGAAGGTCTTTCCACTGCCAGCAGTCTATATGGTAATATTTACAATGTAAGATAACAACAAATATTAGAAAGGAAAAAAGGATATTTTACACTGCAATTGAAAATAAACTATCCAGGAAAACAATATTTAATTATGTTCACTAAACCATATCAAAATTCTAAAAATCTACTTTTAAGTATCTTCATAGTTTTACATGTATATGTATATTTATAATTCAAGGAATTCATATTTTTTTTGCAAAAAAATGAGAAAATTCAACACAAGAACTTTATGATCTTAACTTACTCATTTCTTCATTTGGTAAAAAGCAAACAGCAAAACAGGTGCCCTAAAGTCATACTGACAAAATGAATTTTCTATTAGGTATTTCCTAGGATGTATATACACACATATATATATATACACATATACATATATATGCATACGCACACACACACACATACACACACACACTTGTCCTCAAGAACTGAATCTTGGTAATCACTCCATGGTATATGTAAGTCAAACCATTATGCTGTACCCATTAAACATATACAGTGCTCTGTAAGGCTGGGGAAAAAGAACTCACCCATAAGATTACAACCCAAATGCCCAAAAATAGATGACTGGATCAAGAAGATGTGGTCCATATACACCATGGAATATTACTCAGCATTCAAAAAAGATAAACACATGCAATTTGCAGCAACATGGATGGCGCTGGAAGGGATCATGCTCAGCGAAATAAGCCAAAAAGAAAAAGAAAAATACCGGATGGTCTCACTCATAGCAGGAATCTAGAAAACTTAAATAAGGGACCAGGAAAATGAATAACTATAAGAAAGTGAAAATCAGAATCAACAAAAAACTATGAAACAGAGACACTTTTGGGGGGTGGGGGGCGGGAAGGGAGGGATTGGGATCAGAAAGGGGGGGTTGCAACTGTATGGGGAATATAAAAATAAAATTTTTTATTAAAAAAAATAAATGTATAATATCACACAAAAAAAAGATTACAAAGAAATCATTCACTGTGTTGGTTACCAAAATCATTGTGTCAGAGGTGCACAGTAGTATGATTATGATATGTGTAGTAATTAATTTGGTCTTACCTAAAGAGAGTTCTGGCTTTTGTTTGTCCTGGGTTACTGGAAAGCAGTCTCTTTCACTCTTGGAATATCCTAAGTACAAAAAATGTAGCTGTTATTCTTGGAGTGGCCCACAGATCACACCTGCTGCTTTATGCTAATGAAGTGATGAGCTGAAGTATAACAACATTTATGTCATTTTAATGTCCCTGCCTTAATTGATTATGGCCTTTTGAACTATCTCTGAGCATGACTATATCAAAAAAGAAAGTTTCTACTCCACAGAAAACTATTCCTCCAAAGAAAAATATAAGCTACCGTGTCGTGTCTAAAAACAAGACAAATGGCCCCAAGTGGAGTTGTTTATTACTTAGCCCAACATCACCAAACTGTCTCAATTACAGTTTTCACCCTCTCAGATGTATAATTTGAAGCCAGTCAATCAAGAATATCCTGATCAGCATTAGTTAAGTGACCTGCCTGACGGACTATTGCCATCTGCTAAAGGAAAGTAATCTTGCCAGAACCAATCCACTTTTTGTGCCTACTGTAACATCCTTGTTCTTGCCCCTTCTCCATATAAAAGTTTTTACCTTATACAGCTCCTGGGAGGTCCTTTCTGTCTGTTAATTTAGGCATTGCCTGATTTGATTTCACTCGAAAGAGATTGCCTCTTCTAAGTTAGAGCAAGGAGAATACTGTGAGAGAGAATATGGTAGAGTATGTTTCTGTTATAAAGGTTTTATTTGTGTTTTAGTGGGTAGTTAACCAGGAAGTGAGAATATGCATTATTAAATATAAAGACCTAAAAATTTTGAGTATTTCCCTTTCTTTAATGGATTGATACATTCAAGTAAAAGATACTTCAGAGATGTAAAAGACAAGAGTGGTTGTAAACAAAAGAGCACTGTGTAGATAAGCTTGCAGATAATGACACATTAATGGAACTGTTTTCATGTTTTTAAACAGACAATCTCAATATTGGTTAAGTTTTATAGCAAGATAAATTTAAGAACTAAGTATTTTGTTTAGCTGTAGCAAAGGATGAAATTATTTCCTTTCTCCCCACCTTTCTTCTTTCTTCTTTCCATCCTTCCTCTCTTCCTCTCACTCACAATCCTTCTTTTCCTCCCCACCACTTTCTATTTTTCTTTCCAAACTAAGCGATGCCTCTACGGTCAATCTCACCGATTATCATTTTATTCCTAAGGAGGACAAATAAACATGACTTCAGGACACTTAGAAATTTGGATTTGAGCAGCATAAAAATGAGCTTATTCCTCTAATTTTCATGGTCATTTTTAAATACAAATTGCTTCAATTATTTACACTTGGAATTAGCATATTTGATTTCTTGCTGTAGATTAACAAGTGCCAATTACAACTTTCCTCCTAAAATTCATTAGCGAAAAAATTTTGTGACACAGAACCTAGGATAGTACACTTACCTCTTATTGCACAGTGTAAAAATAAAATTTGTAATTTTATCTGTACTTATCCCTCTTCTAATGCCTTCTAATCCCTCTTCTAGTTTATCCCTCTTCTAATCCCTCCTTTATATAAATCCACATTTCTAACATTTTACTTTATGATTTGTCTAATTCTTAAAGAACTTCTAGTATTTCTGGCAGAGCAGCTCTGCTTTCAGGGTTTGTCTGAAAATATTGTTTCTCCCGTATTTTAAAAGAGTATTTCACTTGATAGAGATAGCATTATATGTTTTCTTTCAATACTAAGTATTTCACTCCAATCTCTTCTTGATTGTGTGATTTGAAACAAGAAGTCTAATTCTTATGCTTATTCCTTTATAAGTTGCTTCCTCTTTCTAAACCACTTTGACTCTTCCCAAGACTTCTTTAGTTCTCCTTGTTATACGATTTGACTATGATGGACCCAGGTATGGGTATTTTGTTATTGGACCTGCTTGGTGGTCTCTGAACTTTCTTATGTCTCTCATTATGTTTGGAATGTTCTTGGCTATTATTACTTTAAATGTTTCTTTCTGTTCACTTTGTCTTTGTCTTTTTATTAGGATATTTCAGGTAGTTATGCTACACCATAACTTAGGTGTTCCTTTCTTTTTGGTTTTGTTTTTTATTCTTTCTTCTCTTTGCATGTCAGCTTGGGAAGCTTCTTGTGACTTATATTTTTTCCAAAGCATGTTTATCGAGGTAAAGTAGGTTTACATCTTTGTATCTGCTCTGGGGGTTAGAGGTTCAAAACTCATTATTAGTTTCCTCAGCTCTAGAAATCCACTCATCAAAAAGCATAATTTATTCTATTGTGGTTTTGATATGTAGCATTTCCTTAGGACTCCTTTTTTAGAATTTCCATCTCTCTGCTTATAATATGGTCTCTTATACGCTGTCTACTTTTTCCATGAGAGTACTTAACAGGATTCTATCTCTAATTACAGATATTTTAAATTCATAGGTTGATCATTCAAACATCTGTGCTAATCTCTTATCCTGAGTTGTTTTGTCTCTTCCTGTTTTTCTTGTCTTTCCAGTCCTTGTAATTTTGGTGCTGTTGCTAAAAGTCAGACACATGGTATCTATCAGATAGTAAGATAAAATAAAAAGTTTCAGTGTTAATCATGCTAGGAGTTTGGCTAGGACTAATATCTGCTATAGCTATTGGTGCCAGAGGCTTGTCTTGCTGGTTCTCTTTCAACTTTTAAGTACTCCTCAAATAAAGTCTGCAATTTACAGCTTTTTAGATGTAATACATTGTTGTTACACAGAAGCCATGTTAATACATTTGTAATTTGTGAGGAAGATATATTTTTTAATCTTATGACTAAAATCAGGCTCTTAGCGGTCCTGTGATACTAGCTTATGACCTTTGCTGAGTGTTTATCTTTATCTCCCTTAGCTGATACAGAAGCACAGAGTGAGAGAAACTTTCTCCTCCAGGTAGGATAAGATTCTGGTAAAGACTTTTACTCTGGAGAGCAAATCTTTGTTATGGATCATGAGTTGGAGTATTTCATTGATTATTCTTCCCTTCCTCCTGTCTGAAACAGGAGGGCTCCCTAATTAGCTCTTCAACCTGAGATCTTGCTGGGGTTCATGGAGGTAAAACCATTGAAGGTGTAGGGTCCCCTGAGACTGAAGCTCCCATGAGTTTTTTACTCTCTTGCTAGTCCTAACTCATCACAATTATCATGTAAGTGTTTCTACCACAGCGATTTTTGTTCCAGGTAAGCAGATTTTGTTAGTCTGATGTGTTCAAGAAAAGTAAATGATTTTCCATTTGTTCAGCCTTTTCTCACTGTAAAGACAGGAGTGACTACTTCCAAGTTATTTATAAGAGGAACTAAAATTGGAAGTCAAGAAGATTCATAGCAGAGACTTACTAAATAATTTTAAAGATGTTATCGACAAAAAAGTATTTAGTCTATTTAAGAGAGAGAGAGCAATGTATATGGCTTGGCTTTAGCCCTCACGTCTTCAAATTTATCTAAACTATTACTTCCTTAGAGAAACCATCTAAATGATTATTTTTAATTTCTCCTATCAAGGCATTTCTTGTTACACTTTACTGGTGTTTTTCTCCAGCATATTTAGGATATGTATGTGTATACATGCATATATGTAAATACATATATATCAAGTTTACGTAACATGTATCTTTAACATGTGTGTTAATTTATTCCCTTTATTGTACATTTAACATATATATGCTTATTTAACATATATATGCTTATTTAACATATATGTTTATCTCATATATGTTTACCTAATACATACATATTCATTTCTGTCTCAAATATAGCATACAATCTTCACAAGGATAAAACTGTTTTGTTTTCTACTGTATCCACAATACCTAGAATAATTTCTGATTTATAGTAAGCCCTCATTAAATATTTGTTGAATCATTGAGTTTTTGCCCTAGCTTTAATCCTCACTATCCATTCTCCTGACTTACACCTTCATTAGCTTCCTCTTGGCCCTTTATAGTCATGTGCTAACTTGGGTCCCTGTGGTAAGTTTCAAACTCCTATGGCTCATTATTCCTTATGTGAGCTTTCTGAATCATATTTGGCTCATAATTTCTTGCTCAAAAGCCTTTTCTTACTCTCCACTGTCACATAGTTTTCCTAAAATTCACAGCATCACGTGATTCCTCAACCTACAGCTTCCAAGGTCTCAACCAAAACATTTTAAATATGAATCTTTAAAATGAGGCTATGGTATAATAAGTTTTAAGAATCACATGCCCAGAACCCTCAGGAAAACCTCTGAAATAATCCAAAAAATTGATCTCAATCCTCTCTTCCACTTTATCAAGAAAGTACAGATAACTAAATAATGTATGACTTTGGGTTATAGGGAGGGATTCTTTCCTGTGAAATAGGAAATAAACTGGTTAAGGAAAATAACATGAAATATATATTCATCTAAAATCTTTAATATTTAATTTTTAAAAAATAAATTGCCAGCTCTTTATGCATAGCTAAGTAGGAAAAAAATTATTATCTGGTATGACTCATCACTCTCAAGCACGTATATTAAAAGTACACACAGAAAGGTTAAATTTTAGTTTGTAAAAATACAAATAACAAGGATAGCATCAAATTGGATTTTTTCATTGTTAAAAAGTGGTTAGAAAAATTTTAAATTTAACTTAAGATAGGAAAATAATCTACATATTTCTCAAATTGAAATTTCTGCTTGATAATGAATATAAAAAAGAGATTCCTAGCCAGACAAAACTAGTTGATATTAGCAGGTTTACACATGAAGGATTTTAATTATTCATTCTTTAATAGAATTTTTAAAGTACAGTAATAACACAGTACAGTAAATAATACAGCATTATTAAGTATAAAGGGAAGATATTCATCATAAAACTCAGGACATTATTAACAGACTGACTTCTAGAAATTTCTGCCCACTTCCCTCCATGTGAAATACTACTGTGTTGCAGGAAACGTTTTGCTCCTTCCATTGATTCAGTACTTTGCTTCCTGTTGCTTGCAATTTCATTAATTTATACATTTAAATTTTAATCTCATTCTCAAGAGGCTATTTATTTCTCTGTTTGTATTCCCTCTGTAATCTGCATATTCTGTCAGGACATGAATCACCAGCTTTACTTAGAGCAGAGCGTTATTGCTCAGCCAGTCTGGCTTCCTCTAAGAATGTTTATAAAAAATCATTTGCCTATAGTATCTACCTAGTCTTCATATTTTAACTCAATGATATCAGAATCTCAGAAGCCTTTCCATATAACTTGTTGCCTATGGAATATCTGACCAGAGAAAATTAAGCAACATGAAAACCACTAGAGTAAGACAAGTATGTCTACAGATTGGGGCACCCACTAAATTTCTTTCTCAGATTTAAAAATTTGAATATTGAGACATTAGCTAGCAAAACAGAATGAGAGAGAGAGAGAGAGAGAGAGAGAGAGAGAGAGAGAGAGAACATAGATAAGTGAAAATTAAGTTAGAAACTAGAATGAAGGGCCACAAAATTCCAGTTGTTTGGCACCTGGCACTAACCCAATTATGACTTTCTAAGAATTAGTTTTTCAGTCTTTCTGCATTTCTGTGAGACTTTTTCATTTTCTTCCTTTGTTTGAGCAAGGCTGGGTGGATTTTTTTTCTAATTAGTCAAAGATCAACCAAAGGATCCCAAGGACTATAAAAACATAACTTGTTCAATTTTCCTGCTGTGTTTCCATGAATAATGTGTGAAATTTTCTACTGTTTATTTTGGTATGTTTCAGTGATTTTTTATATTTTTCAAAAGTAGAAATCACTGTATTTTCTTAAACTGA